GGCTGCTCAGCAGGGGCCTGGAGCCAGCCCCCCAGGGAAGCGGGAGGCCCTGGGTGGTTGGGGGTCAGATGGAGAGGCTGGATTCACCTCTCTGTGGAGGGTGGGCTCCACTCTGCGCCCCTAAGAGAAGGAAGCCTGGGTGGAAGCTTCAGGGGGGCACCCCCACCCCCGCCCCAAGGCTCATTAGTGGCAAGGGCCTCTCCTCACCTCCTTTTGCGTGGTCTTGATGAGCAGGAGGGTGGGCTCATGTCCTTCACACTGGAAGTAAAACCTGGGGGCAAAGACCACACATGCCAGGCTTCCATCCCACCTCTGTGCCACCTCTGGCCACAGCAATCTGGCACCCATAGCATCTGAGAAGCCCAGGCTGTCTGGGGGAGACGGGTCTGGGAACTGTGCTTCCTCATCTCCTGGGGACCAGGTGTGGTGGCCAAGGACCCGGCAGCACCCTGGCCCAGACATTTCTTAGCCAAGACGGAGCCCGGGCCTAGCAGCCTCAGGGCCGAGCAGTCAGCTGGCCAGGACCGTCAGCGCGGCTGCAATGTGGGGAAAAGCCGCATGACGGACGGCCCTCAGCGGGCCCAGCCACGTGTCAGGAGCTTCAGGGAAGCAAAACCCGAGGAACCTGCTCTCAGAAAGCTCACGGGTGCCCGGCGGGGGGGGGCTGAGCCTGTGGGTCACGGAGTGCACGAGGAGGCTGGACACAGCATCCTGGTGGCACCAAGTGCCCGGAGCCTTCATGGCATCCCTGGTGGCCCAGCCTGGCTGTCCCACAGCAGGCCTCCCACACAGCACAGAGGCAGGGACCAGGTGAACGTGTCCTTAGCTATGCTGTAACAGTCACGTGGGCTGGGACAGCTCTGCCTATGTCACCTCTGCGGGGTCACCTGTGACCTGAGCCAGAAGCTCCTGAGGCGACCTGCCATCTAAGGCTGACTGGGGCCGAACCTGGCAGAGCTGCCTCGAGAGGCAGGGACACCCCGGACTCAGCTGTGGACCAGCCAGGTGGGGCTTGGGCAGCAGGGGCCCAGGGCCTACCGCCACAGGTCTTCCTGTGCTAGGATGAAGTTCCTGTGTGGGGGTTCCACCTCCCAGGGTCATCACACCTACACAGGAGCCTGGATTAGTGCTGTGTATTCAGGCCAGCGACCCCTGAAGTCTGGGTGGCCGGGGAGTAGGAGAAGCCCAGAAAAAGGGGCTCTCAATTCTAAGGCCCCTGAGGAAAAGGCAGGTAGATCCCGGGGCCCATCCCCAGACACTACCCACACTTCCGGGGTGTCTCCACGGCTTGCTCCATCCTCCCATGTGTCAGGCCCTTGGAGCCCGTGCCTTGGGCCGCTGCCGGGCTCCCGGGTGTTACCTGGTCAGGCTGTACCCGTGCTGCAGCGAGGAGAAGAGCAGGAGGGGCTGGCAGAGGGCAAAGCGCTCAGGGACCCACGACCAGATGTCTCTCATCTCCTTCACACTGACGATCTCTGAGTGGAAGTTCTCCGCGTGCACCGCCAAGTGCACAAACTGCCTGGGGAGAGTGGGGAGGGCTCAGAGTGCAGCCCTGACCACGCCCTGGCCACGCCCCCCGCCCGGGAGCGTTGCGGAGCCTCTCGCATGAGCTATGCCTGAAGGGGGCTTCTCTGCTATTCCCGAGGAAACAAGGAAATGGGACTGGGGGAATGGCGCTGAGCCCTGGAGCCCCGCTCCCATCAGCTACGGAGGGGAGAGCACTCAACCTGGGTGGGGACAGAAGCACGTCTTCTCTAATGAATGGGGACACTGAGTGAGCCAGCTCTGACAAGACAATGCTTCAGAGCCAGCCAAGCACGGACAGACAGCATGTCTGAGGCAGCTGAGCAGACAGACAGACAGAGAGCTTGAAGAGCAGCCAGGGTTTAAGGCAGCATTGCCAAACCCAGCCCCAAGAGCCAGAGAAAGCAGCTGGGCCCTGGGACAGCCAGGACGGGAGATGGAGAAAAGCCAGGAAGGAAGATATGGTTTCCAGACCTACCTTTTAGAAAGTGAAACACTGAAAAACAGGGGGAAGCAACGGACACAGAGAAGAGGAAGAAAAACAAAACAGACAAGGACAGGTTAGTGGCAAATACTGATGGCCAGGACGAACCTGCCTCTGGCCCAGGAGAAAGGCCTCCACACCAAGGGCACGGTCATGCCGAGATGGTGTTGGGACACCGTAGGCCCCTCCCAGCCTGGCTTCCCAGGGGCGGTACTCAGGGCAGGGGGACATACCCAGCAGCCGCAAGAGCAGCCGGCAAGGGAGCACAGACCCCAGATGGGGGACAGAGCAGGGGCTGCTTTAAAATGATCTGAGGCAGTCAGCCGGGCCCACGGCCAGACCTTCTGACTCCATGGTCAGCATCCAGCGTCCGTCTCCGCCACCGGCCTCGACCCTGAAGGCAGGACCCTCCCTGTACCTTCTGTACCCGCAGCTGCCTGAGCAGCCTGTGGCTGTAGCCAGAAGGCCCCCTCCTCACTCCCATGGCTTCCTATCCACGCAGGGCTGGCTGCCAGGAGGCAGACCAGGAGCCTGGCAGGACTGGCTCAGGCCCCAGCCGCCAGGACGCATCCCACCTACGCCCTGCCCTAGTGGGCCCCTCACCTACCCAGGGGCGGGCCACACCCAAGGCCCCAAGGGGCCTGCCTACCTCTTCTGCTTGACGGTGATGCCTTTCTGCTTCAGAGCTTTCTCGTTGGCCATCTGCAGGAGCTGAATCTCCTTCCGGGAGAAGAGGCGGATGGCAAATGCTTTCTCCAGCAGCTTCTCAGGAGACACGGTCTTGGCGATATCCCTGACGAAGGTGCGAATGTCCTGCTTCACGCTGTCTGACTCGAGCGGCTGCCCAGCCCTCACCTTGTGGAAGAACTTGAGGATCGCCAGCGCCACGCGGTACAGCACCTTGTAGCCTTCCACCAGGAACACGTCGAAGACGCGGGCGAAGTGGCCGAGGGGCAGCTCCCCGAACAGCCAGCGCTGCCAGTCCGCGTAGACCTGCAGGACGTCCTCTGACACGGCCACCATCAGCTTGTGGGCCGCCTGGCAGTACTTGTTCACCAGGTCCCCAAACGTCATGCAGGAGGACTCGAAGGCCAGGAAGCTCTGATCCACCAGCTTCCGGCTGGGGTCATTGCAGGCCAGGATGCGGCAGGCATTCTCAAAGCACTGGGCCTCGTCCGTGCTGTAGTGCAGGAGCAGGGCCACGACCGCGGGCAAGGCGGGGCAGAAGGACACGTCGGGGAACTGGTTGGCGATGCACAGCAGGATCTTGCGCACGGCATCCTCGCCCCGCGCGTTCAGGCAGTAGCTGGGCACCTGCGTGTTGTCCACAAACTCGGGCAAGGGCAGGCTGCTGCTGCTGTGCTTGCCCACGATCTTGCCCACGATGTCGCTGTATACGCTGGCGTCCGGTGTGACCGTGCGGCAGGGGATGTCCCGGATCAGGCGCTGGTACACCTTCCCCCGCAGGGCGTAGCTGCGGGCCCAGTAGCCCTGGCGAGCCAGCTGCTTCAGCTCCTGCGGCTCGGTGCAGCTCAGCTCCTTGGGGCCCAGGTCCTGCACGGCCGCGTCCATCCTGTCTCTGTCCACAAAGCAGTTGTAGCCCGGGGGATCCATGGTGCGGGGCGCCCAGCACGGGGATCCCAGGCTGCCGGGAGAGGCACGGAGCAGCTAAATCCCCCAGCCCCGTCTCCTAGGCTTTGCTGCTGACCTCTTTGCCATCCTGTACCCTGTCGGATTGAAAGTCAGGCTTAATGTACGCATAGGTTATATATTAACCATATACGACAGTTCACATTTTTTTAAATTTTTTTAATGTTTTTATTTATTTTTGAGACAGAGAGAGACAAAGCATGAGCAGGGGAGGGGCAGACAGAGAGGGAGACACAGAATCCGAAGCAGGCTCCAGGCTCTGAGCCGTCAGCACAGAGCCTGACGCGGGGCTCGAACTCACAGACTGTGAGATCGTGACCTGAGCCGAAGTCGGACGCCCAACCGATTGAACCACCCAGGCGCCCCGAAAGTTCACATTTTAAAGAGCATGTTTTTATTTTCATTTTTCTAAGAAGTATTAGGAGGGCTTCTACTTAAAACAAGTGGAGGGGCACCTGGGTGTCTCAGTCGGTTAAACGCCTGACTTTTGGTTTCAACTCAGGTCATGATTTCGCGGTTTGTGGGTTCGAGCCCTCCATCAGGCTCTGTGCTGACAGCTCGGAGCCTGGAGCCTGCTTCGGATTCTGTCTCCTCCACTCTCTGTTCCTTCCCCTGTTAGCTCTCCCTCCCGCCCGCTCTCTCTCTCTCTCTCTCTCTCTCTCTCTCTCTCTCTCAAAATACACAAACATTTAAAGAAAAACAAGATGAGTGGATATTTTGAGAAGTCACTATGAACTCTGGAGTAGAACTTCTTTTCATGCAGTTACTGGAGTAGATCACACAGATTCTGAGTAATGAGAGCCTAAGGCTCAGATCCCAGAAGGGCTGGGCCAGCCAGATCCTGCTGAAGACAGCTCTCTGCTGGGTGTAGGCGGGCCCCCCAGCCCTCCTTCCCCCCCAACACCGCGGCGGGGGGGCTCGCTGGACAGGAGCACCCCAGCCAGTTAAAAGCTGCCCAGTGTCTACTCCCTAAGGCTCCGGGCCTCTGCAGCTGCGCCGAGCACGGCACCACACAACTGCTCTGCCCCACCGGCCCTGGGTCAGAAGCCACAGGCCAGCCCTGAGCTTTCTAGAAACGCCAGCTGAGTTTCAGGTAGGCCTTCCAGAGAAGACTTGCTGTGGGGGAGTAAACGGGAGGGCTGAGAAAGAAACAGAAGGTGTCACTGCTTCAAAATTAAGACATTTCTGGGTCCACAGGAGCCAGAAGTATCACACTGGGGGGTCTGGTGCTGTCTCTCCATTACGGGAAACTAGTGAGATCCAGGCGGACGTTGCACACAGGGAAGGTGTGCTGACACACCCAAGAGCAGCGTATGCCCACGCACCTCAGACTAGCCTTTCCGCCTGGGACAGTACAGGGTCCAGAGACGTCATAACGGTTTGCTTCAGCAAGTTTCAGTAGATGGCCAGATCATTCCAGTTTCTCCTGCATCTGTAACATTCATCTGAAAATACAAAAAGGAAATAGTACCTTAAAAACGTGGAGTGGAAATTAAAGAATTATAGCCTAAAAGCTGTATATGTGAGAAGCCCCTCGGTGCAGCGTGGTTTTTCTCACTGTGGGAAAACATATGTAGAATTACCAGGGTAACCATCTCTGAGTCTACGGAACCGTGGCAGGAAGCGCAGTCACACTGTGCCCTCACCACCACCGTGCCAACAACTCTTTCGTCTTCCCAGCTGAGACTCTGCCCCCAGGACGCATGGACTCCCCCTCCCCCAGCCCCTGGAGCCCACCCTTCTCCTTTCTGTCTCTACCAAGGCAACAATTCTAAGAATCTCACAGAAGTGAAATCACACACATTTGTCATTTTGTGACTAGCTTATTTCACTGAGCATAATGCCTTCAAGGTTCATCTAGGTTATTTTTTTTCAATTTTTTAAAATGTTTATTATCTATTTTTGAGAGGGAGAGAAAACAAGTGAGGGAGGGGCAGAGAGAGAGAGGGAGACACAGAATCCTAAGCAGGCTCCAGGCTCTGAGCTGTCAGCACAGAGCCCCATGAGGGGCTCGAACCCACGAACCATGAGATCATGACCTGAGCTGAAGTCAGACACTCCGACTGAGCCACGCAGGCACCCCGATTCATTTATGTTTATAGCATGCATGTATCAGGATTTTTTTTTTTAAGATTATTTTTTAGAGCAGTTGCAGGTTCACAGAAAAGTTGAGAGGAAGGTACTGAGATTTCACACATACCCGCTCCCTCGTCAACACCCCCCAGGGGAGTGGGGCATCTGGTCCAATGAGAAACCTGCATTAAAACATCATCATCACCTAAAATCGGCAGATTCATGAGGGTCTGCTCCCGGTGTGCATTCTAGGAGTTTGGACAAATGTGTAATGACACGTATCCTCATTACAAAATCATACAGAGTAGTTTCACTGTCCCAAGATACCTCTGCACTCCACCTACGTGTCCTGCCCCCCCATTTACCAGAATTTCATTCCTTTTTATGGCCAAATAATACTCCATTGTGTGACCAGAACACATTGTGCTTACCCACTCATCTCTGAGTGGACACGGGCTGCGGCCACCTCCTGGCTATTTGTTGTAAGTAACACTGTGAACACCGGGTGCCCGGGTCTGGTGGAGTCCCGGCTTCTGGCTCTTTTGGATACATATCAGTTGACACTGCTCTTTATGTATTTTTTTTAATGTTTACTTATTTTTGACAGAGAGACAGAGCGAGCGTGAGTGGGGGAGGGGCAAAGAGGCAGACACAGAATCTGAAGCAGGCTCCAGGCTCTAAACTGTCAGCACAGAGTCCGATGTGGGGCTTGAACCCACAAACTGTGAGATCATGACCTGAGCCGAAGTCAGACGTTTAACCCACTGAGCCACCCACGTGCCCTGACAACGCTTTTTTCTTTTTAACTTGTCTTATTTTTTATTTTTTAAAATTTACATCCAAATTAGCTAGCATATAGTACAACAATGAGTTCAGGAGTAGATTCCTTAGTGCCCCTTACCCATTTAGCCCATCCCCCCCCCCC